TTTCCAATATGTGCCTCAGCCAACATTTTTGTAAAAGTGCAAAAAACATACTCAAACATAGATTTGACTGCAGTTTTTAGGTAAAGGGAACTCTACAGGGCAGTATGACACCAACAACCTTTGTTCCTTTTTTTGCATTAATTATATTTACACAGACATTATCAATGAATTATGTTTAGTTTTTGCGCAGACCTGACATTTTTCAACACCAACTAAAACTCACTAAACAATTTCACAATGTCTTTTATTTGTAATTGAACACATTTGCACCACCTATCTATCGACATATAGACAAATTTTCTGACATGGTTGGATTTCTCAGTTGCTCACTTTAAACAGTGTATCACTTGTGATGCTGAGTGTTCAGGTTTGAGTCCAGTGAATTGCAGTCCCAAAAACAGTAGCACAAAGTACAAAATCACAAAGCATTGCACTGTTTTGGTGTTCTGTGTTTGTCTGAGATAATTAGTCTACCAAAATGTGTATATTCCGTACTGGAATAAGTATGAAGCTGATTGGTCAGACTCGCAGCATTCATTAAACTGGGTGTGTCTGGTAGGCGCTAGCGCATGCAAGTCACACACCTCCATTAAAAATAATAAACTTGTTCGACTCTAGAAAAGACGCGATATGCAAACGACTCCTAAAAAGCCGCCGTAATTTGCAATCTCAAGCAGTTGATCTTGCACAGACATGGTGGGTTCTTCTGATTTGTTGACAAATGGGTTGCAGAACCATTTATTGGCAGTTCGTGGCAACTTAACTGGACCTTTTCCTCTTAGCAAAGAAACTTTTCAAAGACGATTGTTCCTTACTCATTTTGCTGCTTGTGGGTTAAATCTGGGCGCTCAAGAGATCAAGATGTAACCGAGAGAACACAGTCATTTTTCAAAATAAAAGATCGTTCAGACTCAAATAATAACTAAAATGGAAATAATTAATGATTTATTGTGCGGCCCGATACCAATTGGCCTGGTGCTTGAAGACCATTGCCCTAGGTAACAGTTTTTCCAAAACATAAACAGCGCCCTCTTGTGGAGTTGTCATCTGAATCATGCAGCCATACGTACCCAGAGCAACGTATTTTACATTATAGGACACATTTATTCAATGAGCCTGGGCTGAATTTATGTAATGTCAAATGTTGTCAGTGTTGCCAGATTGGGCAGATTCCCACCCAACTGGGCAGTTTTGAATTTGATTGGGTGGGTGAAAAATTACATAGGCAAGTTGACAAATTTTTTCCGGATTTAAAATGTAACTTTTAAATGCAACTTATTCAACAAAAAATAACCATGTGCTCTTACTCAATTCAGTTATTAGAGACCAATGCATTGCGCAAACCGCTTGGGCCCAGCCACAAAAAGAGGTGAAAGAAAGTTGTATCAAAATCTGACACCCTGGACAAATCTGACTTCCCTTTGTGTGCACACAGCGCCTGCAGTTAAACTCGCATCAGTTTATCAAGACATTTTTATCGATCGTTTTCTTTTCCACAATTGACAGCAAGAACAAACATAGAAACGTTGTCTGATTGACAAGACGAAAACGCCAAATAGGACGAATTTATACCCCATTTCGAAAGTAAAACATATTAACATTACTGCTGTGTGTGATTGAGAGGGGGCAGTGTTTCGATGAGACCTGGTTATGTTGTGGTTTTGTGACTGCTGTATGGTTAAAATGATAACAGTTAAAATAACTAGGTAATTTATATTTAAATCATTTAAAATAAAATAAAAACATTCATCTAATATTTTGGGTTTTTTTGTGTGCGCTTTGGCAGGTTTTGGACAGCTTTTGTGCTGCAAAAAGTCAGCTATATCTGGCAACACTGTATGTAGTATAATTGTGCATTCAGCTTCCATATTTCCAATTAATTCATATTATCTTTATTTTTATCTTCACAGAGACCAAACTGATGTGCAGAAACACTGAGAGAGAGCTGCATCTGGCGAACAGTTACCGCCACATCAGGAATCTCATCATCAGAGGCCTTCTCGTGTTGGCTGTAGTGGTGATCGCTGGCAGGATCAAAGACACGTTAAACACATTAGACAGTTTGGGTTCAGACCTTAGGGAGAATGCAAGCCTTAGTCTTGACTGACGGTGTGAAGTCTAAAAAGGCCCGACAGATACATACAAGCATACAATCTGGATGCTCGACTGCACGCACACACATGCTCACACACAAGGGGGCTGACATACAAACACATAGCAAGCGTGTCCTATTTATGGTTCAGGAGAGGTCAATATTTACTGCCCACACAAGAACCCTCAGACATAATGGGGTTTCAGCTCAAGGCTGAGGATTAGAAGCAGATTTACAGTCTCTTCCGCTCATATCTGCGTGTTTACAGGGCTTGAAGGACTGGTGCTTAACAGGATGGCTTTTATTACATACATGTTCCCCACACTGTGTGCATGGCGGCAGGCTAAACATTTAGCTATGGGTGCCTACAGAATAATGGTTATGTTAATGCTGCACAAACAAACAGGCTTGTTAATAATTTGTTACTTTAGCTTTTTGTTATTTTGTATTTTTATGTTTTTTGGAAGTTAATGTCTAGTGGCTTCAAGCTGGTAGCTTTCAATATTACAAATGTACCGCTTGTTTTCAAGTGTTTTAACTGTGTGAGTAAAAGTTTTTTCATACAAAAACTGTTGTTAGACTTGTCAGTATACAGGTAATCCTTGCAATGTCTAAGTAAGAAAACATGCTGGACAGGTTTTTCTATAGATCATGATTTAAGCTTTTTAAACTAAAGAGCTGTTCAACAACTGCAACTTAATATGTATTGTTTTTTAACTTAAAGGGACAGTCAAGCAGTCATAGATTTCCACAGTACTCTATTGTCTTATTATATCAGCGTCTAATGACTTCCAGCAACCAAAACCGTAATTCCAAGGTACTTAAAATGAAGTGAAAAAGCCTTTATTAACATTAATCTGTTAATAAAGGATTTTAACTATTACTTTTACATTTCAAGTGCCTTGGACTTACGGTTTTGGTTGTTTATTTTGAATGAATGACTTATCCAAAGAGCACTGACACATTAATATCAAATTAATAAAGCACTTTTTGTTTGATTTCGAACTTTTCAGAATATTTTCTCCAGGTTGGTGGAAAGTCCTTACCCCAGGTGAAGGAGTTTAAGTATCTTAGGGTTTTTGTCAGTACCTAGATGGGAGACCACATGAGAAAGCTAGGTTGCTGTTGGAAGTGGTGTTAGTAAGGCCAGCAGAGGGCGCTCAATCTGTTGTCTGTGTGTCCTTATGCCCCAATATAGTGATGGGGACACCATCCGCTTGTTAAGTGGGACGTCACACGAAGCAACTTCCGGGTCCAAGCATCTATCGAACTGTTTAGGGAGACTAATCAAATGGTATTAATAAACGTTTTAAAAGCGATGTAATACTTTCTTAAATTACGATCATAATATTTATATCTATGCCTAATATCCGATGGCCAGAAAGTGATACATTTTTTATAAATTGTTGAAATTTTGGTATTTGTGATGCAGCAAGCCCAGAGACTGTTGTGTACACCATGATTTTATATAAAATTCACTTTAATGTGTGATAGGACTAAAAAGTGGTCATAAACAAATATTTTCTTAATTCAAATGAGTAGCAGCTTGGACCCAGAAACAATGAGCACCGTCTTTCGCATGAGACACAAAGGTCCTGACTCTCTGTGATCATTAAAAATCCCATGGCACTTCTCGTAAAGAATAGGGGTGTAACTCTGGTGTCCTGGCCAAATTCCCTCGATCGGCTCTTACCAATCATGACCTCCCAATCATCCTCATCCATTGAATTGTCTCTCGCTCCACCATTAGCTGGTGTGTGGTGAGCGCACTGGCGCTGTTGTCCTGTGGCTGCCGTCGCAGTATTACGGACAATCCAAGAGGATGCTGGACACTGGTGGTGGAGTGAGACCCCCCTCATGATTGTGAAGAGCTTTGGCCATACACAATAAATGCGTTATATAAATAAACATTACTTACAACTTACTACTTTTGTTCACAAGTGGGGGAAGGATGGAATGTGAGATTGACAGGTGGATCTGTGCAGCAGTAATGCAGTCTATGTACCGTCCGTTGTGGTAAAGAAGGAGCTAAGTCGAAAGGCAAAGCTCTTAATTTACCGGTCAATATACGTTCCTACTTTCATCATAGTCATGACCGAAAGGACAAGATCTTGAATACAAGCGGCCGAAATGAATTGCCTTCGCAGTGTAAACTTATTAAAGTGCTGGCACACTGGCAACACAGACGCAGTGGAGATAGACAGTGATTCGGAGAGCAGCATTTACAGCGGATGTGAGAGCTGTGTGGAAGTGGAGGACTTTCAGTCCATAATACTGTAGTAATATTACTGTAAACGTAACTAAATCATTTTGAAGGTGTGTCTTTAAAAACTGAAAGAGTACTGCTGACACCTAACTAACTTTGCTATCTAAATAAACATAAAGAACGCTGATCACACATTTGCAAAATTCATATAGACATGACAAGCAACGCTAACTGGAACTGTGTCTTTTTTTAAAGATTAGATCATCCAGATTAGAATGGCTCTCTGGTACAAAATATTCCTCATAAACATACTTTTGAAGTGTGTTAGCAGACCACTGTACTACAATTACTTGGATCCACACACCAACTGTGCTCCCATTGCGGGGAAATGTAAAGAAAACCTTCGCTGCAGCATTTTTAGAAACGCAACACTGATGACCCATGTCTCCGAACAATCCTTCTACTACAGTACTTGTTTGAAATACGGTTGGCAACACAACGGAGAGGGATCTGGCTGCAGACCTGGTGCAGTGCAATCTGGACTGCATCCAATGCTTTTTAATGGACTCACCTAACCCCACCCGTCATCACTGTGACGTCACTAGCTCCATTTGAGTGCATTGTGTCTGACATTGCATCGCTGAGTGATGCAGTCTCAGCTTGCATCATAAAGGCTGCATCCAGACACTATTGACACAACGTGGCGTCTCTCTGAACACCGCAACAGGTAAAAGGAGTCTACAAAGCTTAATTATGCATATTAATGAAGTTGCATCTTATTCACAATAGAGCGCGCTGATTGGTTCGAACCAAGTCTTTCTCATGAATTAATGCTGAACATGATGTCACTTTGTACCAGCAGCTACAGACTCAGTCTCCACGCTGGATTTTACACAATGATCTCATCGGCGTGATGTAGCTTCAAAATCTCTTTTTGACCAGGAAGAACAAACTTGCTTAAAACAACACAAAAACAACCAATTTTCGCTTTTTAGTAAAGTGGGACATTTACATATGACTGTCAACATCTCAAAAAATGTGTTTTGGTGGTTCGTGACCCTTTAAAGTTTGAGACCATTTGAGGGAGAATGCATTTTTGTTTTTGAGTGATCTATTTCTTTAATTCTTAACATCCTTTTAAATGTAACAGGTGTTTATTGACTTCAAGAGTTTCAAAGAACTGGAGATGTAGAGATAATGATGTCACAAACCTCTAGAGTAAACACAGGACTTTCCAGCACTGTGGGCTGTCCCTGTTGATTAACGCAGTCACACTTTCATTCCTTTACAGAACTGCTTAACAACGCAGCACAGCACACGTTTACAGTGAGGATTAATAAATAATCCTACTCAAACTGATCAAATGAGAACTACTAGAAGAACCAAGAAAAACACAAAAAAGGAAGAACCACAAAGAGAGACGGTCATACAGTGGTGCCCGGGAGGAACAACAACAATGGGAGCTGGTATTTGTTCTGTTTATTACTATCACCTTTAGAATGATTCAAACTGATCGTGAACAACTTGGTTTATAAATATATTTACAGTCATATACAAAACGACTTTCACTTTCACTTTGTCCTGAGATACATACGCCACAACATGCCTACTCGTTGCTTATTGCACGTTTCAGATTTTGCAAAGCTAAAACAATAAATGCCAATCATTGTTCGGTAGGAAATTCACAGGTGAACAACAATCCAACTACTGTCCTCAGCCAGGATGGAAAAAGTTTAATGGTGAGAAAACGTTCATGTTAAAGACTTCTAAGGTTTAAATAGTCATTTAACTTGAGAGCATTCCAATGGAATATATTGTAAATGTAAATATATTATAAAAGCTCCTTTAAAATGGCATAAACAGTCTGATTTGATAATGTGGAGTAATTGTATTTTCTGTTTGGTCTATAAAGGTGCCTTCTCTAATGATTCGAACACTACTAGTACCGCACAACCCTGTCAACACCTCTGCATCTCCGAATGATGGACAAAATCCAGATCCAGCAAGAACAGTGAGCATTGCATTGTAACTTAATTTCACTGCCATTAATGGGATAATTAAAAGTAAATAAATAAGAATTATTTGTTTTAGTAGAACATCAAAAAAAGATTGTAAGACTAATGTGAAATGCAAGTAAAACAAAGCACTTTAAGACATACATATATACACAAACACACACACACACCGGCCACTTTTTTTAGGTACATCTTACTATTAGCAGGTTGAACCCCCTTTTGTCTTCAGAACTGCTTTAATCCTTCATGGCATAGATTCAACAAGGTACTGGAAATACTCCTCAGAGATTTTAGTCCATATTGCTGAAAATTTGTCAGCTCATGACTTTGAACTCATCGTCAAGTTCAAGCAGCCAGTCTGAGATGATTCGAGCTTTATGAAATGTTGTGTTCTCCTGCTGGAAGTAGCCATCAGAAGATGTGTACACTGTGCTCATAAAGGGATGAACATGGTCAGCAACAATGCTCAGGTAGGCTGTGGCATTGACACAATGCTCAATTGGTACTAATGGGCCCAAAGTCTGGCAAGACAATATCCTCCACAATATTACACCACCACCACCACGAGTGGTTATATGAGTATTGAGTTACTGTTGCCTTTCTATTAGCAGAAACCAGTCTGGCCATTCTCCTCTGACCTCTGGCATCAACAAGGCAGTTACGCCCACAGAACTGCCGCTCACTGGATATTTTCTCTTTTTCGGACAATTCTCTAAACCGTCGAGATGGTTGTGCGTGAAAATGCCAGTAGATCAGCAGTTTCTGAAATACTCAGACCAGCCTGTCTGGCACCAACAATCACGCCACGTTCAAGTTCACTCACTTAAATCACCTTTCTTCCCCATTTTGATGCTCGGTTTGAACTGCGGCAGATCGTCTTGACCATGTCTACAATGAGTTGCTGCCATGTGATTGGCTGATTAGAAATTTGCATTAACGAGCAGTTGGACAGGTGTACCTAATAAAGTGTCCCGTGAGTGTATATATCACACACACACACACACACACACACACACACACACACACACACACACACACACACACACACACTTTTGTGCAAAACAAAATCTATAGTATCACAAAGTTCCAGCTGTTTAATAACTCATACCTTACATTTTTCCAAAGTGCCCTGTTTGTTTGTCTGCGCTGAATCCTGCACGCATGAATGGCCAATCTAATGATGAACTGCTTCAATGTCCACGATGCTCCATCCTGTGTGGTTCTTGTCTTTACCCCTGCACTTCTGCCGTCTGCACCAACAAGCTGTGTGCGCTGGTCTCCACACTGCTGACCTGTGACGTGGTGACAGATCCAACGAGTAGAGTGTTTGGTTGTCCAATATTCAGAGCCTGTCCCAAGTGTTACAGTCTGATTATGCATGAAGGCCATGGATGCAAGCATGTAAGATGCAAATCATGCCATCACCGGTTCTGTTTTATCTGTTTGCAAGGTGACTGTAGCAAAGACAAAGCACTTTACTGGACACTAACTTGTGCAAAGCAGAGAGCAAAAAGGCAGAGATTTATGTCAACAGAATCTTGAATTTAGATTCATCATTGGAATGGACTCAAAAATGACAAAACTCAAGAACTGTCAGTTGAGCTGCTGTGCAGGAATTAAATCCTGAAATCTTGGATAACAGTCCTGGAGAAGTGACACTACAGACTTCTGTGTACAATATTATTAGCAAAGCTTTCTATACGCTTTCTCATACTAGGAGCCGGTTACTGTTTTTCTACCTAAAATGACTGCAACATTGTCGTGTAGCAATATAGAAAGACACAGCCTTCTATTCATCAAGAAATAAAGCATCCGATGTGTGTAGCACTGAGAAGGTCAATTTATTTCAATTTTTTTTTTAATTAAATCCCAATTATCATTTTTAATTTCCAACTGAAACATAATGCCATTTTGCCATGCTCATTTTTATATTATTATGATTTTACTTGATCTTGTAGTGTTTTGTTTAACATTATGACGGTGCGTTTTCGAGGCATATTTCTTCATAAGTTACAGATAAATATTGTCTCCATTTCAAGGTTTTTGTGTCACAGGGCGAAGTTGTGAAGCAGTACTTTTCCACTGCTTACGCTTTGGTTGAACAGCACTAATGTTGTGCTGACCTGACAGAGGAGGAATAAAGTTCAGTCGGTGTCACGGTATTGAAAAACTAAAAGTGTGTTCATACTTATGGTTTGGAATGTGGTTGAAAGTATAACTATACATTTAGTTCCCTTTTTGGTTGGCATTCATTTTTAAAACACAAAACAGCTTTTATGACATACAGTCATAAGGTATACTTAAGCTTTCTGTTCTTGTTATGGTCATATCTTGTGATAGCATGTCCTGGTTTTGGTTTATGTGTGTATTTTTTCCATTAGTAAGTCCAACGACACAAATCCCCTTTTTGCCAGTTGGTCCCTGGTGCATACGAGGGTTTGGATGAAATCTTTCAAACATTAATATAACCTAAATCTGTGAACACACCCTGATTATTGAATAAAACTACATCATTTTATAATCAGACTGATTTTCAGTTAATGTAGTTTTGGGCACTAGGCAAAACAAGCTTGCGTAAACTGCTTCTAAATAAAGGTCAAAGAGCTTTCACTGGGGTGGTACCTTTGCAAATGGCACACATTTATACCCAAAGCCAATTTTCCACTGCTCTGTAAGATAAGGTTCGGTTCAGTTTGCATTTCCACTGCAGTTCAGTGCCACTTAAAAGGGGTGGGATTATCAATATAGCTGGCCCGCCAGTATTTTCATTCAAGTTTGTTACATACAACTCTTTCTGGATTCACTACACTGCTACCAATGAGAGGAACATCTGGTGGTGTATTTATCATCCGGTGGTTTAATAATTCTTTAGTTGTGTAATCCAACAAAACAGCAGTGGCTGCTGCTCACTATTTAAATATAGCAGGTTTTGTGTCAAATCCAACTATGCTGATAGTGACAATTCACTAGTTACCAATAAGCAATGTGTATATCACAAGTGTCAAAGTCAGTTCCTGGCGGGCCGCTGCTCTGCACAGTTTAGGTCAAACCCTAATTAAACTCACCTGATCAAACTAATTAAGTCCTTTAGGCTTGTTTGAAACCTACATGTAAATGTGTTGATGCAAAATTGGAACTAATCTGTGCAGGGCTGCGGCACTCCAGGAACTAACTTTGGCACCCCTGATGTATATAACTCACATTTAGGTATCAGTATGGCTTTCTTGAAACCTCAACCCAGGAGGTCCTAAGAAAAAAGTACCAGGTAGTATGGACGAAACGCAGCAAAAAATCTCCTGTGCCATACCAAACCATATAATGCAGTAGAAATTCCTAAAAAGGTCAGTAATTGTACCTCAGAGGTATAAACTAGTAACTAAAAATTTCATGAGATAAACTTGATTTTTTTAGGTACTATTTTGTACCTTTAAGGTGGCAATATTGACCCTTTATTTATAAATGTATACCTTTTGAAAATATACAGCCCCAGTAGACAGCTCTTCTAACACTTTTTGACTTGATTTTAACAGTTTTTGGTACTAGAAAAAAAAATAAAGGATCCAGTATTTCTGGCATGTTGATTCAGTCTTAAAGTTTTCATATTAAAGTCTTAAACATAAGAGTACTGTCCAGGTTTATGATACTACCATCAGGCTAGAGCTGGACGATAAATCAATTTTATCAATTTACTCGAGTGTGTAGTTTACATCGATTTGTTTGAATAAAAATCAGTTTCACTCTAACACATGCGATGCTCTCCTTTGGGTTCCCACAGTTTCCTTGTGGATTTTTCCATAGAAACACAAACAACATGCCAGCCAGCAGGGATGAACCTGGAGAAATGTTGCACTCTATGAGTAGAAAAAAAACACTGCGGCACCAGTGCACCGGTCTACCAAATGCAGCAGCCCAATACAAATAAAAGCAAAAAAATATAACCAATCCACTAGTGATTTATATGAACAATATAACACAATAAAATAGAATAAACCTCTGAATGTATGTTCATGTTGAAATAAAAAGCACAAAATAATAGGGAAATTAATCTTCTTGAAAACTGTGCCCTTTTTAAAAAATCTTTAAGAGTTTACTTTTACTTAAATTTTTTAAAATGGTTTAATTGATATTACTATTATTATTATTATTATTATTATTATTATTATTATTATTATTATAAAAGTCTTATATGCAATTGTAAATGGATCTTGTTACATTTATTCTTTAAATGACAGCTAGAACCGTTCTTCAGGGGAAAGTTTTTTTCTTAATCATTTTTAAATCCTGTAATTATATAATTATATGCTTAAGCACATTGTATAGGTTAATACCCTTTGAGTCTAAAAATCTGAAAAATCTATTTAAAATCATAAAGAAATTTTTTTGTGAAAGAAATGAGGGATTAAAATAATAGAAAAATAAATAAAATAAATCGCTGAGTCCTTCATCAGGCACTAAATATTTGAAAAGGCATTAAACGTATAACAGACAAATGCTTCTCATCCAGTTATTCCAGATTTTAATTCATGAACATTCATAGGGTTAGTTCACCCAAAATGAATAAAAGTTGTTTTATTATTTATACAGATTAACAACTCCTTTATGAGAATTTTAACCTTGATTTTCAGAAAAACAGAAACAGTAATTATTAAAAATAGCTTAGATTGTGCTTTAAAGCGAAACCATAGCTAATCTAAAACAAGAAGATTCATTCATTTTTGGGTGAACTTTGCTTCTCCTAACCTTTCAATGCCTGGGGGTGACCTGATATTGACTGGGCTCTATGCACAGCTAGTGTTTTTCAGCCAATCATAAACTTCCGTTGAAAGCTTAATTGAAAGCTTAATTGAAATGTTTTCAAATGAGCATGGTACCTTTTACTGCATCGATGTTGTAATGTAATTACAATACATCCAATATTCATTTAGTTGTTCAAGCATAAATTAGATGAAAGACCGTGTAACCACTAGCGCCATCAGGATTAGCAACAGAGCACAGAAACTCCATTGAAAATAATGGGGTAAAATAAACTTTCATGTTTTAAAGACATGTCGGGGGAAAATGGGATTTAATGCAGCGCTCCTTGTCCGGTCTAAGACCTACTTTATAAAGGCAGTGAAGATAACTGATTTTTAAGGAAAACAGACATGGCACTTTTATAATGGAAAGAAAGCTCACCGGAAGCGCTGAGGCTGGCTGAAGTTAAAAGTCCATGTGCATGTACCCCATTAATGTCGCAAAACTACCATAAATAATGCTTTCATACAGTAGGTGTCATGAACACTGATGCGACCGCAATCCACCATCATTTCGAAACTTTTTCCCACACTGACCGCAAGTATAAGGTTTCTCTCCTGTATGGAGGCGGAAGTGACGCTTAAGAGTCAAAGCATGCCGGAAGCGTGCGCTGCAGATGGAGCATGTGTACGGCCTCTCTCCTGTATGGATCCTCTGATGAATCTTCAGATGGTGCTTGCGGTTGAAGTCTCGTCCACATATGATACAATGGTACGGTCCTCGGCCTCCGGGAAACATAAAGTGATCGGGCCTCTTGCGATTGTTGAGCTTTGGAAAGTGGATTTGCTGGCCCGAGCCTGACAATGACAGGAAATCTAGGTTAAAAGGCAAAGAAAAGGGAAAACTGCATGTAACTTCTGCCTTTTAAATAAATAGACCCGTCTTTCTATCATCGCCTTCTCAAGCATAGAGTTTTGTACAATACTCACCAACAGGGTGGTTGGCAGACTGGCAAGGCATGTTTGTATGGCAGCTCTCTGATTGCAATTGCTCAGGTCTCCAGTCTTCCAGCAGTCGCGATTGAGCCAGAGAAAGACTGTCTGAGTTTGGCTCTTCTGCTACAGAGATGGACACAGGGATTGGGTCACCATAACTCTCCTCTTTCTCCACCTTTATAGCCACTTCAAGGGACGACGGATCACTCAGCACATGCGAAACTTCTCCAGCACATGACAGGTCAGCTTTGGTCATACCGTGCTGCTCATTCTTGGTGTCTGAAAGGGGAAACACTCATTTATCCTGCGCTCAGAAAAATCAACTTAAGTCAACTTAAATTCTCAGAAAACAAGTTTATAGCTTATTTCGCTTCAGAAAGTTATTTTTTTTCAGTGCATGCAACGAAACTTCAGAATTCCAGACTTTGTGCTTTCATTTGAGATGTCACCGGGAAGTTCATCCGAATATGAAATAATATTTCTATGGCAGAACACAATATTATTTAGTCATGAATAGAAGTCAACAGTTGCCAGCAATCTGAGAGGCAAAAACAACAAAATATGCATACACATGAACAACTCCGTGCAAATGTCAACTTTGCCATGAAAAGTTTTCGCCAAAACAGTCAAACCCTTTCTAAGTTTTTTGCATAGGCTTATATTTTACAGGACTGTAAAAATACTCATATTTGTCTCTGTCAATGTTTCAAAACTATTATATTTGATTTACCAAAGTTGCATAAGTGGCATTTCACATCAGTCACATCCATAACAATGCTTTTTCCTCATAAATAAAAAAATGTCAACTAAAATTAAATCAATCAAGTTTGTTCTACAGTAAGCAAACTCTTATCCTTTTGATTAGCAGTGTTTCTTTTGGGTTGTGCAGTTTAATTCACAGAATTAGTATGTTGTGCACTGTAAACTTGCAGACTTTTTGGTCACGTTCATAACGCATGTCTATTTTCCTTATTCAAAATATAAAAGATGTTTACAGATTGACATATTTCAGATCACATAACTCTGTGGCGAGTTGCTTTACGAAATATCAACAGAAGTTCAATATAATGTTGACTTATACTTTCTCTGTGAAATGAGTTTTTATTGCAAATGTCACATCCATAACGCTGGAATTGCTCACATACAAAACAAAATTCCTTTCTGCATCTGCCGTAGTTATCCGGCTCTTCCATTCATTAACCACAATCAGACTGAAGGTTTGCATACTAGAAACGAGACTTTACTGCCCCACCAAGAACTTAACTCCTAATGCCGCTAGTTAACATACTCGATGCATTTCTTTTTCAATATGTCCCATAATTTTCCAAAATATCAGCCTCTACCAAATGGTAGATATGTTGGTTTATGGTAAAAGTACTGGAATTAATATATATACTATGTAAAATCCATAAATATAAAGTGTAAAACCAATTTATTTAAAAACACAATCAAAATAAAACATTTTTGAATACTAAATCATCTTTATTTTTTGAAGTATGCCATGAAATATTTCAGATTCTCATTTAACATGATTTTGTTTTTACTGTAAAAAAAGAAAAAACAAGATAACAAGTGTAATAGTGCAACAGGATTATGGTTCTTAGATGTCTTTTGTTTGTGTGTGTAAACCATTATTTAAAACAGTCATTTTAAGGGTCATTATTTAAAACAGTCAAAATATGGTCAACCATTTGGTAGAGCAGGCCGTTAAAGGGTAAAAACATAATAAAGCAGAGATGTCAGAAAATAGCCCTTCAGGAGAACCTGAAGTCTCCCCTAGACCATCTAAAGTGTCTATGTCCATGGTCCAGCTTTTATACATATTTTCTTGCCCACCTCTGTGTACCTGTGACCATCTTAGGAAGTCTTTACTAAAAGCTCATGTTAGGTGGTCATTTCATTTCCCCATAGCTGTGCATAACTTGTTCTGAGTATGTACATATATTCTTAAGCAGGTCCATTCATTTGATAAAATATCAATCATTCTCCTGAAATCCTGTCACAGATATAGCTTCATATGGGTAATTAACATATTTAATGAGTGCTTAACATGTTCAGTTATTCTTCAGCATTGCTTTGCATTGCTTGGTCCTCTGTGGGCTCATCTTACACACCACAGCCTGGCTCAGTTCTTCTCAAACTTACATGTTTGCTGCTGCACACTTTTTGAGAATTAAAATCTTCCTCACGTCTCCAAATAATCTATTAGGGGTTTATGAAGCAAAATGATCACTGTGTGCAAGAAACTAAGCATTATTTTTAGTTTGCCTGTACATGATTTCTCAGACTCAAACTAAGAATACACCATAGTCATGACAGGGCTTGCAAGAGTAAACATGATTGAGGTAAAGTTGCTTTTATATTCGCACATCCGTTCAGTTGACATGCTCTCTCACTTAGTGATTTGGGGGCCTAACCACTGAAATTCAAAACTTTCTCAATAGATATATTGTTTTTCTCTATAGATTTTTTTTGTTCATTTTAAATAAACTGCAAGCTAAAATATATATTTTAAGTGGAACCTTTATCTTCTTCATGTATATTTTTATACAATAAGCTAACAAATAAAAAACTATTTCACAAACTATGTGCAGTAAACTAGCCATATTTGTGATTGGATTTCAATATTTGCATGCGCTGTACAGAAGGAACGTTCCACTATTCATGACTATTTTTTTTTTACTGTGAACAATGTTGTATAATATCTAGGTTGTAACCTAGTTATTGGCCACTAATATGATTTCGCTAAAAAAATTAGCAAACAACACTTTTCTGAAATTATATTAAAAATTAAAAGTAGAAATTAAAGTCTGAATGTGTGAATCTTGAGCGACACGGTGGCTCAGTGTTTAGCACTGTCACCTTACAGCAAGAAGGTCATTGGTTCGAGTCCCGGCTGGAACAGTTGGCATTTCTGTTTGGATTGTGCATCTGTTTGCGTGGGTTTTCTCTAGGTAAGCTAAATTATTCTTGTGTATGAGTGTGAATATGGGTGTGTGGGTGTTTCCCAGTGATGGATTGCAGCTGGAAGGGCACCCGCTGTGTAAAACATATGCTGGATAAGTTGGCGGTTCATTCCGCTGTGGTGACCGCAGATTAATAAAGGGACTAAGCCAAAGAAAAATGAATGAATAAACAAATGAATGAATACATCTTAACCAACTTTACCTCAATCTAAACTCAAGGCTGGCCAATAAAATCGGTTTAGTCTGTTTCACTTCACTGAGGGTGGGCCATTTTAAGCGACTGAACAAACTTAAGTAACGTTATTTTAATCGTCTTTAAACCTCAAACACCTTACCATTTGCCCCGTGGTGATAGTGGGTCGCTTCCCCTAGTGAGTCAGAGTTTAAAGCCGATTCTGCGAGTGGGTTCCCGCACATCGGTACTCGCTGGAAAACAGTGGTGTCCTTTGGTTCACACAGCAAATAATCTTGTTCCGAGTTCACACTGGACTGGGTTTGTTGCCGGATGTTAACAGCACTGACCTGGAGCCCGCCGCGCTGAGCTCTGCTGAGAGGAGGAGGCATCAGCTGACCGCCGCCGCTGCTGCTGCTGTTACTGACGGGGAAATCCTCGAGGCTCTGCGTCTGCAGGTCCAGGCCACCGCACACTGAGGAGAGTTGCGTTTCAGCGGTTTGCAGTCTAAACTTGAGCGCGCTGTTGTCCCGCAGAGCCTCCTGAATCTGTCCCTGCACCTCTCGGAGGGCTCTGTCCAGCAGTCTGGTGATCTCCACAACGGCGATCTCCACCGCCACACCGAGCGCGTTTTGCAGGGTCGCGGTTAGTTCCTCTTGAAACGACAATGACACCTCTGAAGTCACTGTGGAGTTCGCAGGACCGCCGTTTACCTCCATTGTCCTTTTCGCTTAAAACTACTTTTTGACAGCACTTTAACTGCTTGAGAAGAGAGCCAGTGTGCACCACTAACGCTCGCTGAAGTGTCGAACGTTTAGTAGTTGGCCAACCAAAACATTTCCTTGGTTGCACTTATTAAGGCGACTCGACATTTGTGTGTAATTTTACTCAAGTCTACTTATATCAAAAGGGCTGAAATAAACACAACACAACACAGAATTCTTTAAAAATACCATTTAGATGGCCAATAAAACTGTTAAATAGAATTATGATGGCTATAATAAATACAACTCCAGGATACAGCACAGTTGTCCGCTTTTATTTGGTCATTCATTCTTTCTTTTTTCCTCCAAAAAAAGGAGAAAAACATTAAATGGATTTGGCTGAAAGGCAACTAAACTGTAAATCAGGATGGAATTAACATGTAAATAATTTGACAGAAGAGCATATATTTCTTCTTTTTAAGTGTCTGAAATTGAAACATTTTCATAAAATCATCAAAATAAACTGGGTTTGCATTTGTTTTATGTATGATGAATATGATATTTATCTTTAAACAAGGTAATATATGTCTAACAACATATTTTTAAGGGTGTAATGATACTAATTTTGTACAGAAAGACATGCATTTTTATTGAAAGAAATGGCTGCAGACAATGGGCTATATGCACACAGATGTTTAAGACTTGTAAGATCTGATTTCTTTAAAAATTAGTGATCTTCACTGCCTGATAGATATACAATATTATGTTTATCTCAGATCAGACAAGAAGCACTGCATTAAATCCCATTTCTCCCCACCATGTCTTTAAAATTGACTGTTTATTTTACCCCAGAGTTTCAGCGCTCGCCTGCTGATCCTGACGGCACTAGCGCTTACACTGTCTTTCATCTCGTATTATGCTTAATCAAATTAATGAATGCTGAAGTCTTTTTAACTGAATGTATTGTGATTACATCACAACATTGATGCTGTAAAAGGAACCTCATAAAATTAAAAATATTCACACAAACCACACCTGCCAACACTCTCGTTTTTCCCAGGAGTCTCCCGTATTTCAGAAAACTCCCCCTGCACACCAACCCAACGTGCAACCATCTTCATAACCGCTTCCCACTTTTAAGTTCGCGCACGAAACATGCTTTCATCATATACAGTGAACTAATAATTGACTAATGTCATTGTCATCTTTAATATGTTCTTATAATTCAGGCATTCTCAAACTTTTGTCAGCTAACCATTATCTTAAAATGTGTAGGCCCACTTAAAATCAAGCTGTAATCTAACACAATAAAATCAATATTTCAATAATTTATCAATGCATATGCATAAGGCAAATGTGGAAATTAATCATGAATCATTATTTTATTATAAAAGATCTACTCAGAAAATAACAATGTTTTGGAAAATATATATTTAATATTGATTTATTTTAAAAAAATGCACAGTGATCTTGCTGAAAAACACTAGTCTTTACTACAATTTAAGATCCAACAGTCCACTTCTTTAAATGAAATGAGTGCAGTTAACTCAAAATGCACTGAAAGTTAGTTCATCTCATTTGAAAAGAGTTTTGAACTCAGTGTTAAAGGTATTGAGTTAACTAAATACCTCATTCAACTTAAATGGAGTAAGTTCACAGTACTCATATATAGATTAGTTTTTTAACTCACATGGTTTGTAGCAATCGGTTTCCTCAAACGGTTTGAGCTGCCTTAACTTATTGGGTTTTACAGTACTCAGCTGGTTTGAGTTCTCTTCATTTGTCAGGTTTTACTGTGCTCAAATTGCTTTATTTACTCAAGTGGATTAAGTTCACAGCACTCATTAGGATTAGTTTTTGAACTTAAATGATTTGTTCCTATTGGTTTCCTCAAACAGTTTGAGTTACTTTTTGGGTTTTTACAGCATGTATATCCACTAAATACAAATGGTTTTAAAATGAAATTAAATGTTTGCTATGTTCAAATTGTAAATGGGTTGTTCATTTATTCATTCATTTTCTTTTCAGCTTAGTCCCTTTTTTAATCTGAAGTCGCCAACCTATCCAGCACATGTTCTATGCAGCGGATGCCCTTCCAGCTGCAACTGTAAATGGGTTGTTTAGACTGGTAATTTCACATTTACTGCATGAATTTCAACAAATTCTAATAAGTAATTTAGCATTTTTGTCTCATTAAGCATTCAAATTAATCTAATGTGTAGTGCAGGTGAAAGTTATCAAGTTAATTTATTTTTTGACACACACACACACATAAAAAAAAAAATAATGCAAAAGACAACCAACAGGGGTCGCAAACGTCTCGCCATGAGGGATGCTCTATAGCGCAAGAGACTTGCCAATGACCGGAGAGAAGGGGATTCCGCATTTAATAATTAAAAAATACAACACTACGTTAAAAAGACACAGTGTCGTGTATGTTTACCATAAGAAAAATAATTACAGAATTGATTTGACCGTGCATTCCTCCTACATCCTGCCAGATGCAAAATCACAAACTGCCAATTAAAAGAAACCCATAATGTGGGATTACACGCGACATGTGTTAATTAAACCTGGAGGATGCTGAGCTGTCTCGATCCACGAATCCACCGAAAATAACGCAGTCTCAGATCTCCTGTGTGTACACCGTGTGCATGAACTGGCATTAGCGGGTTTACCAGCCTCACAGACGTACAGACAGAGGGGAGGGGGGCATCCGAGTGTGCGGGGTAGAGCTGTACAGTAAACAATTCTGGTACGCTTGCAATGATGCTACACATCAGAGCTGCATGCTAGTGCAGACGTCGGATGCCGCATGTGCACGCCTGTCAGTGGAGCCTGCCCGGGTGCACACAACCATACAGCCTGGACCAGGAGGAAAACAAGCTAATTTGGGCTCTCCTCGAGGGCGCGAGGGTGCATGATGAGAGAGAGGAGAGAACCGCTGCTATCATGAACGAATGTAAAATATACCACAGATTTTAAACAGACGTTGGTGGATTAGAAATAAAACAAGCAACTGGCCGAGCAATGGAGAGCCAGGCGGCGATGGAGCAGCAGAGCTACGAGGACGTGCGGAAAAGCGGGTATCTCCGCAAGCAGAAATCTATGCACCGGCGCTTTTTCGTTCTCCGGGCTGCTTCGGAGCAGGGCCCGGCCAGACTCGAATATTACGAGAACGAAAAGAAATTCCGAAGCAAGTCACCAGTCCCAAAGAAAGCAGTGAACCTGGACTCTTGCTTCAACATCAACAAACGGGCAGATTCAAAAAACAAGCACATGATAGTGCTGTACACCCGCGGGGAGAGCTTTGCCATAGCCGCGGACACCGAGGAGGTCCAAAACGAATGGTACCAGGCCATGCTGGATCTACAGTGTAAATGTGAGCAGGAAAATTATGTGTTATTGTACCCTAGAGTCGAATTCTTTAATGATCTGTCATTCAAATACAGGGCGCAGCATAGACCTTGGTGGTTGCAATTGCTTGCATCTCCCCATCAACTTGCGTGTTGCTGAGGGGAGCCCCCTTGTCTTCAGTGGATGTATATTTGCAAAGCTGTTTGGATTGAAATGCACGTTCTACCCCACCCGTCTGTTCAATGTAGCCACCACACCTGGAGATGTGGACGCTCGCGGTATTAAAAGGGCTAGATTGATTACGGTGCATGCATTGTAGATCCATTCATAAATGGACGATATCATCGTTTGATTTTAATTGGAAAATCGACATGCAATATAGCATATAATGAAATACTCCCCAGCCCTAGACATAACTACTATAATGCGTAGTGTGAGAGTGGCGCATTGTGCAGCGGACGCTACTGCAGCGCTCACGACTGTTTTTGTTTTTCTACACATTTGTGCATGTTGTGCGTGTAACCTACATTTCTGTCATAGCGGTTTTGCCGGGGAGGGGAGCCGCAGCAGCCGTGCGTATTTATTGGAATACGGGTCTCCTCTTGCCTCATGTTTTGGTAGAGCATGATCCCCCCACCCTGCCGCTGAATGAACCGATCACCGGGTTGAACAGTAGGCCATCAGTGATCATATGGAGACATTAGCACACAGTTCCTTCCTTTAGCACACAGTGCTTAGCATATATATAAGCACACCCCTCACAAACCAATCTTTTAAATTCATATTTTTAATAGGAAGCTATACAATATTGTATTTGTGCATATACATTAGATTAGTCAGTATTGAAGCAGCCAAATCTGAGAAATCTAATCACTTACGAGACCGGTCCAGAAACTACTACACCCAAATGTATGTTATAGTAAATATTAAATACAAATTTAAAAAGGAGTAAAAATCAAAAGAAGAAAAAATACATGAAATAAAATAGAAAAATTTAGTTGAAATTTTGTAGGTTGTAATTTTTTTTGCAATATTTTGCTTGAATTTAATTGTATTATCTTTCAATTTCTAAATGTTTGCTGACTAAAATATTATTTTAATAAATATATCTAATAAATTTGTTATGTTTAAAAGCACCAAATTACATATATTCACTGAGAAATGGATAAAAATATTTCTTTTCAAAATGGGGTGTACTCAATTATGCTGAGCACTATGTAAAGACATTAATGGATTCATCTGGATAAAGTGTTTATATCCATCCACTGAACGCAGAGCACCATCTTTCTTCATATTTTACAAGTACGCTTCAAATAGTGCAGCATTTCTTCAGTAAACTGATCAAAAAAGCATTCTAACAGAAAACCAAATCAGTTGCAACCAATTAGTTTTATTAAACGGTAGTTAGTCCAAATGTGTCATGACCTGTTTGTTTTGATGAAGGTCTGTTAGGGTTCCTGTGCGACCTGGAAAATGATTGAACAATTTTCAGTCATGGAGAACACATGGAAATTAAAGAAATCATAATTGTCCTGGAAAAACCTTGTTGTCCTTGAATCTTTTTTTACATATCCTTGTAAAGCAAGGGACTTTTTGGCAAACGACAGAATCCACAATGGTACTAGCTTGAGAAAGGGTAGCACATCAATATATGAAGTCTTTTTTTGTTGTTGTTTAGAAGAAATTTGTAATGTCTAGGAATATTACATGTAACGAATAAAAGATTTATACAATAAATATAAAAAAATATGTAAATTAAAAATTTATCAATATAAAATAAACATTTTGTTTATATTAGTGGCTTAAGAAATCAAAGCTTTATTCAGTGTATAGTGTTCTTTATGGAAATATATTTTCTGACAATTCTGATTTGAAACAATTTAATGTTTTAATTATGTCTAAATAGATAAAGATAGACACATTTAACATCATATCTGCACAACAGTTCAATACAATACCATTAAATATTTGTGTGTTTATTTCACAGTTCTATAATCTTACTGTCTTTTATTTTATATCTGTAGGTAAGACTCCTGATGAGTGCGGCAGTGGAGGAGACTGTGGACTACCTTCCCCGGGCCCTGCCTTTAAGGAGGTCTGGCAGGTTAAAGTCTGGCCAAAAGGTTTGGGCCAGGCCAGGAATCTAATTGGAATATACAGACTTTGCTTGACGGACAAAACAGTCAATTTTGTAAAACTCAACTCTGATGTTGCAGCTGTGGTCCTCCAGCTGATGAATGTGCGACGCTGTGGCCATTCAGAGAACTTTTTTTTTATTGAAGTGGGTCGTTCTGCCATGACAGGCCCTGGTGAATTCTGGATGCAAGTAGAGGATTCAGTGGTGGCACAGAATATGCATGAGACTCTTCTTGAGGCCATGAAGGCCCTGAGCGAAGAGTTTCGGCAAAGAAGCAAATCTCAGACTGTTGGGGTGAGCTGTGGAGGAGGAACTGCCTCTAACCCAATCAGTGTACCGTCTAGACGACACCATCCTAATCTACCACCTTCACAGGTTGGCTTTTCCAGACGTGCTAGAACAGAAACACCTGGTGTCCATAACACTAACACTTCCCCAACTCCACGGCATGGTTTCTCTAGGTCAAGGACAGCCAGCATTGGGGCTCGAACAGAGGATGGAGGGGGCAGAGCAACAGCACTCAGCACGAGTCCTAGTCTCAATGGGTCATCCTGCTCAACCACCCCAACCCTGAGACCTAAACCAACACGAGCACCCACTCCAGCAAAGATCACTCTTAGCCTAGCACGATATACACCAAACCCTGCACCTTCCCCAGCACCCAGTCTCTCATCCAGCTCTGGTCATGGGTCCGAGTGTGGGTTGGGTGGAGCCACCTTTGGAGCAGTCCCCATCTGCACCTATGCTCGAATTCCTCAGAGAGTGTCTATGTCAGGATCACCCAGTGATTATGGTTCCTCAGATGAGTATGGATCCAGCCCTGGAGAGCACTCTCTGCTAGCTGCTGGACTCCCTGCTGCCCTTGTTGAAGGTGGAGCTAGTTACATCCTAATGGGTCACAGAGAAGGCTCTCACAAACGTGTTCATGGACGCAGAGTCCTTCGCCGTTCATCTAGCCGCGAGTGTGAAGTTGAGCGCAGGCTGCTCAGTAAGCGTGCTTCCTTACCCCCCACTTCTACCCAGGGTTTGGTCCCCCGCCGAAGGGAGGAGGAAGAAGAGGATGAAGAAGAGTATGCAGTCATGTCACGCAGTGCAAGTAGGGAATCTTTCACATCACGCAGAGGCTCAGGAGGTTCAGCAACAACATCATTGGTGCAGGAAAACTCTGCAGATAAAGGTGTGAGTACAAAAGGGGGTCCTGAAGACTCCTCAATTGACAGTGGTTACATGTCCATGTTACCAGGCGTTACAGCTCCTCCTGCTTCATTATCACTAGCAGTTTCTGGTTCAGATGCAGTGCCAAAGGGTGGAGATGAATACATGGCCATGACCCCCAATAATAGTGTCTCTCCCCCTCAGCACATTCGTCTACCAATCAGTGAAGGTTACATGATGATGTCTCCTAACAGTAGCTGTTCACCGGACTTGCACGGCATTAGTGGATGCATATGGGGCAGCAGAGGCAGCATGGAGAGTCGAGCAGGCAGTGACTACATGAACATGTCACCTATAAGTGCCAGGTCAGCTTGCAGTACTCCTCCATCACACCCAGAGCAACAGCCACTGCAGCCAAAGATGGTCTATTCATATTTTTCATTACCACGTTCCTACAAACACGCCACTCTCTCTGCCCGTTTTGAGGATAATCTGGAGAGGGTTTGCATGGGAAGAGGTGAAGCTGCAGGAAAAACTGGACATAGTGCTTATGATTGTGGAGGAGACACACCTGTGGGCTCCGGTGGCGGTGGACAACTTTCTCTGTCCTCATCTTCTTTTTCCTCCAGTTCAGCTAGCAGTGAAAGCCTTGAAGACAGATCGTTGTCTCTTTCTGTTGGTGGAGTGGGACGAGCAGCTAGGCTGAGCACAGGACACAGGGTACGGGGAGCTCACCCCAAAATTACATCCCAACACCATCACCAGCAGAGTTGTGGGCCAGGGGTTCCGAAACAGGGTCATTTACAGACAAGGAAAGACAAATCATCCAGCTATTTTGTGGATATGTCCAAAGCCAATACCCTGCCGAGAGTCAGGGAGACTTTGCTCCCAACGGCATCTCAGAGCCCTGGAGAGTATGTGAGCATTGTTTATAAGGGTGAACGAGGAGGACATAAGGGGAGAACTGCAGTGGAATCAGGAAACTCCAGGACACAAGGACATCAGAGAGCCTTTCACCGACCGCAGCCATGTCAAGGTGGATCTGCCAACCTTCCACGGAGCTTCTCAGCACCTCTTGCAACTTCCATCTCATTGTCCTCTGAATATGTGAACATGGACTTGGGTAGCTCACCCTCTTCTCTCACTCCCCTCTCTTCTTTTAAACCTGCCCCAAAGGTTAGAGATGAGATCAGCAGAGTTCCCCTAGTAGAACAGGAGGTTGATATGGGACTCAGGAAGAGCAAAGTAACAGGCTTGACACCCACAGATGTGGCTGCTGCCCCTTTTACTGACTATACTGAGATGAAATTTGGCTTGGGGGGAGATTCAACATCTAAATCCCCAAAACCTGGCCAAACACCCCTGCCATCCTCCATGGAGCAGGAGCATACCATGAATTTCTCCTCACCTAAAGCTTTTTCAAATGTGGATCAGGGTGCCCGCGTAGTCAGGGCAGAATCATCAGCAAGAAGGCGGCATCGCTCAGAGACATTTGTTGCCCCTCCAACTCATCCCCTTTCCCCCTCTGCTTCCCCTTCCCCTTTTCCTGAAACGCCACATAGTGGTCTACAACGACAGCAAGGATTAGAGGGCAACCTTTGGTCTAATAATCAGCCACCCTCTCCAAAGTGTGCCAGCCCTGGAGCAGCAACTCTTCCTGCCGCTCAGGGATCTTCTCTAACCCTGGAGCAAGGCCTGAACTACATTGATTTAGACTTGATCAGTAAGGAGAATCAAACAAGTGTGGATGGACCTTCTGGCCCACACTCATTTTTCTCTCCTGTAGTGGGAGGGTTGACTGGTGGATTGGGTGGAGCAGGAGGTAACACCACCTCCAGCATCAACACATATGCCAGCATTGATTTCATCAAATCGGATGAATTAAGAGTTCATCAAAGCAACAGGAAGGACAGCAAAGGTAAAAAAAAGTATTATATACACTACATAATTTTACTACGGTGTTACTGTGCTGACTACGGTGTTCCCTTGTTCCTACTGTTGCCATTTGGCATTCCAAATATTAAAATATAGTTGTTTTTCCACCTTTACTGAGGTGCATAATGTGACTGCTGAGAATGACCAGTAGTGCAAAACCTTTTGGAATTTTCTTTTCCTTTAGCAAGAATTATACAGACCAAAGTATCAGTATAAGACAATATCCCAGATCAACAACATGATTCTAAAATTCATTCAAAAAATAGATGCATTTTTTTTTGTGTTAAAAAGTGTCTTTCTAATACTTACAGTAACGGTATTTATCTTTTAAAGGTTATTTTGGGATCTGACTTATGTCTTATTTATGCAATTTAACAACAGTAAATATTGTTAGCGACATACTTCTTTATCTAGGCTGCTTTCTGCCTGGTTCCATTAGTGAAGGGGAGGTGGAGTATAAGAAAAATCAGCTCTTGCAACTATGTACTTAATGTACTATTAAGATCATTTAAGTTGTTGGTTGTGAGCGTGTGTTTGTTGGATTTTTATAAACGCACGGTATCCAGGCAGTGTGAGTACAGACATATGCGTGTGTGATGCATGTGGATAGAGAATATAGCATATTTGTGGCTTGTCTAAGCGTTTATAAGGGATACCTCTGAGCAGCCCTGCATCCACATATATATTTAACTCACTGTGATTGTAGATAATTATGGATATTTAACTTCAGACTTGCTGAAAATCTTCCTGAATGTGGTTCTGCTTCTACTCATCTCTCTCCTCTTTTCCTTTTTTCTCTTCTTTCTTTAAAGTCTTTCATTTTGACCTCCCATCTCTCTTTTTCTCTCTCACCATAACATATAGACAGGCTTTGCAAGAAAGCACTACTCATAGACTTATTATGATCAAATTGGAAATAAGGATACTGTTCATATGCACCTCGCTTGCAATGACAGCTATAGAAAGAATTGATGCAGTGATCGTAAAACAACTAGTCAGATGAGTAGTTTGATTTGCTCTTATAAAGTGTTTTTCAGGGCGACACGGTGGCTCAGTGGTTAGAACTTTCACCTCACAGCAAGAAGGTCACAGGTTAGAGTCCAGGCGGGGTCAGTTGGCATTTCTGTGTGGAGTTTGCATGTTTTCCCTGTGTTGGTGTGGGTTTCCTCCGGGTGCTCCGGTTTCCCCCACAAGTCCAATGACATAGGTGAATTGTGTGTGTGTGTGAAAGAGTGTGTATGGGTTGCAGCTGGAATGGCATCCCTGATGAATAAATGGGTGGTTTTCAACCCTTCAACGGAACCTTTGTCTGCGTAAATGTTCAGCCAAAATGTTTTAATTATGCTGCTGCATGTGATGTGTTTAAATGTTTTATCTTATCATAGCTAATGGTGCTAAAAGACAACTGCATTGATTTGACATATACCTATGTTTGCATCCATGTATTTTTAAGAGCATTTTGCAATATTGCATAAATAATTGCTCAACAGAAAGGAAATGGCAAATCAATTTTGAATATGTGCATAAAAAAACTGAGTAGGACAAACTTTTTATCTGATCAGAAAAAATGTGCATAAAATACAATGGAGATATATACTGAATAAATTCCAACATGCACATCAGAAAAGTCATGTGATTTTGTTTTAACTCATATGCTAACACAAGTCTGTGCGATGGAATGGCATCAATGGACTACTAGCTGACCCACCACACTGCACAAAATCTGAAGTGATGTTTTGGTCATTTTAAAGTCTGTCATCAAAGTGGTTCAGTAGGGTTGAGCGATTTGGCCTTAAATCAAAATCTCAGTTAATTGAACATTTTAACTCGATTACAATTTCATAAACGATTATTTTATTTCTTTATTTTGTTTGTGCCCTCATAGTTCACTGACAAGCTTTGCACAGTAGATATGCTGACATTACAAGTGAGAGATTTTTGAATGTGCATTATTTTCATTAATTTCCTTTCGGCTTAGTCCCTTTATTAATCCAGGGTCACCACAGCAGAATGAACCGGCAACTTATCCAGCACATGTTCTACATAGCAAATGCTCTTCCAGCTACAACCCATCTCTGGGAAACATCCATGCACATCCATTCACACACATACACTACAGACAATTTGGCCTACCCAATTCAACTATATACCACATGTACGAAAGCGGGGAGAATATGCAAATTCCCACAGAAACGCCAACTGACCCAGCCGAGGCTAGAACCAGCAACCTTCTTGTTGTGAGGCGACAGCACTACCTACTGCACCACTGGGTCGCTGAGTGCATCACTTGACTTTAAAATAATTGAAGTAAACACTATCACGCACTATCTATGATTATTTATTGAACATCAATGCTGAACAACTGAAATTAAAACACACATTGCCTAAAACATGGCTCTCTGCACCGCTTATACTCGTCATCGCTACCAAAATGACCAATCACAAAGCTTGCGTGTCATTATCACGTATAGTTACAATTTTTTGAGAGGTCTGTGGGTATGCGAAGGGTGCGCCAGACCATACATATGCACTTGGCAGAAGTATAATATCTGAATAATATAATAATTATAAATAATAATATAATAGGTATAAATTAGCCTTACAGCGGGGTCACATGGCTCACACGGTAGGGAAAGTAATTGAAAAAATTTACCTGAAAAAATAAATAGATTATAGTTTCTGAATGTTGATTTTGTTTACTTTTAATTTAATCGCCCAGCCCTGTGATTCAGTATTATGACCTACTAGAACAGACTTGAGTGGCTGTGCTCCCAAGGAGCGGTCGTGCACCTCCAAAAGCAGAAGTGCATTGATTGCATTTTGTCTTCAAGTTCTAAGGAACAAGTTATTTATTATACAAGAAAATCTCAATTCCAAGTACGCACTTCTATTCTCGTGAAGACCAGTCTTGCCAGGTCACCTTGGAAGAATGAACTCGGGAGACCGCGAGAACAAGTCCTATAAGAAATGAGATGCTGCATTCTCCCTGGTGATCATGTGATCTTCACGCGTTTTGGCGGACAATTTTTAAAACATTTATCCAATGATTTTTTTTTTCCCTTTTCAAAATATGTAACATGCACAAAAACCTTACAAATATACTTTTCACAATACAAATAAAACAGATTTCAATACAAATTTCAGCAAATAAACTATCTTATGGCTTTATTAAGATTTTTGTGTTCATGTTCAGTTTCGCCATCTCATTTAGGAAAACTCCTGTAATAAATAAGTTATATCTCTGAACTTTAATAATAAAACGCTGTGGTTCCCACCTCCTTTATTCCACCCCAATGGCTTCTGGGACTTCTAGAGCGAGTTCGGTGCTCAAGTCTGCATTGGTGCCTCCTTGATATGCGCAGGTATGTGACTGCGTGAAGGCTGTGGACCACATGGATGCGCTTAATGCAGAAGTATATATCAGCCTAAACAGAGCAAGGTCACGTGACTCAGATTTCGATTATTTCTCGATTAATCTATCAGGGAATAGATATGGATTATATTTTCCAACAAAAAAATTATATTCCAGGATCAACATAAATGTTAAACCAGGATTGGGCCACACTCGACAAAATGATGATGTGCGTTCATCAGGAAGTGACGATTAAGTTCACTTTGACTCATGGAAACAACGCTTTATTTGCAAATGTTTTAAAGTTTGCACATACATCTAACTCGCATTGTTATATAAAAACATAGCTTGTGAGATGTACTGCCATGCAAGCAACATTGATTTTACTAATGGTTTTGAGGGCAGGATTACCTGTGTTACAATAGCGCAGGGAGGAAGTGTTTTGTACACTATTTAATTTGCAATTCCATTCCAAAAGTGGCACAGCAATTGCGCACTACAAAACCTTGGGTTTGACATTTTATTTTGAAAAAATTGAGAGGTGCTTGCTCTTTATAAGTTGCCATCATCATTACTAGGGGATTGCTAGGCAGTTGCTAAAATGTTTTTTGCTAAGGTGTTTTTTGCCTGTTGCGCCTGAATTAGCATGCACCTCACTACTAATTATTTTAAGTCAATGTCCCATCCACCATTTCTCGCATAGCTCAGATTAAGCCAAAGAAATGTCAAGGTATTATCCTTGATTGTGTGTAGTTTAGGTTAGTGCTTGGATTTCCTGAAAATAGTCTCATCAGGGTGAAAAGCAGAATGCAAATTACAAGTTGGGTTGAGGGTTTGACCTCATTAAATAACACTTGATCCCACTAGGGACAAGATGCGTTGCGGGTCTACTCTTTAAAAATTGAGAATAGTTAACACTGATCTATATCTAAAAATAATAATAATAAGTTGATAAAATGTAAATTTGACACCCTGTGATGACTCATACCATTGTCAATGCATGATCACTCCCAGTAGGGTCAATCTAGTCTACGCACTGCAAGTCTTAAAGGGTTTTTTTTTCTTATGAAATTAGTTTTTGAATCTACAAATGGTCTAAAAGTAAAGTCAAATTACACTCATATAATGTGTATTTTATTAGACGCCTATGCTTGCACAAGGAAGTTAAATAGAGGGTTTAGACAGTGTATTGGTGTATAAGGTGTTTCTAAGATGCAAAGCAATGTGTGTTCATGCTTCATTAGTTAAAAATCACGTTATTTTTTCATATATCTTACTTTAACTATATACAGCTACTCTGCTAACATGAAAATGTCTGTCATATTTCATAGTTCCTCCAAAAGGCCCACCCTCAACAGGCTCTAATTGATCAGCTAACATAATGTGCTGTGATTCACGAATCGGCTCCATGTCACCAGTAAAAGCGCCACGGCCCTATAGGCACACGCTTCTGCGTTGTGTAAATACTGTCAGTCAGAATAGCTGTTAGCCGTATCAGTTTGACCCTGAATCAGACAGAAAATGACACAGAGGACACAGCTGAACCTCATGTTTGCTCTCTAAAATAACATCTGATAAGTGTCATTTACATATACTCGGAATAAACATGTGTAAGTAATATGAAACCTTTA